GCGCGTTCTTTTAGCACTTATTTATTAAAGACGCCCCCCCCCCCCTCCACCCCTTTAGCCAAAAAACCGAACTGTATACATAATAAAAATGTGGCAACACGACACTCCACGATACTTAGAAGTTTCCGGGCCTAGGCAAACCAAAACAAAAGCAAAAACAAATTTGCTGTGGTCGTTCATCAAATGCAGATAAAGCGTGGCACGGTTAAAGATACCTTGGATAACTGGCAGGAGCAACAACAACAAGATACAAGCATGCACGACTAGCAGTTACCCTGCGAATACTTGTCATTCTGTACACTCTCCGTGTCTGTGTGCTGCATACCCTGTACCTGTGCTTCTTCTTCACTTCACCCCTTATTAAGTATGGAAAAGGAATATATAATCTACTTACCAAAGCTCTGTTAACTTGCGAAGCATTCCCTGAGGACTCAGAGTAGCTCCAAGCCAAGGCTTCGAATTCAAGAACCAAGTTGCCAGATCATTTAATGCCTAACGGGAGAATATACTTAACGGCATTAGAGTTGCCACCCTGTTGACAGTTACATGCCGTTGGTCACAACCGGAATGCCCTGTGCTTAACTGTGTGCAGGGCATAGAGAAATAGTGCAAAGCAAACAACTTTCGGCTGACACACAGGGCACATGATCGCGATCAGTTTGTTGGTTTTATCAGCGCCCGACAATGACAACGCGACCATAATGTTGCCAGATCATTCAACAGCTCGGCCCAGTATCTCCTGCGGCGATAAGCGCTCTTGCAAGTCATTTGATTGATGCCGCCAGACGAATATCTCTGAATTAACTGAACAATTCAATTATTTGCATTTGACATGAAGACGCTAATGGAATTCAAATGCGCCACAGCTCAAAACTATTTAAATACCAGAAATCGATTAAAGATATATATATTATAAAGAATTATAGATGCAACTTTGCTTAAGAAACAAAGCTTCAAGTTCTAGTTTCAATTTTATTTAAAATGATTCAAGCTTAAAGGAAAGCCTAATATGTATTATATCTTTTTTCTCAGAGAGACACTGGAGGACTCCAATTATATTAGGCCTATATAGGATTAGATATCTAGTTTAGCCCGCAATTTCTTGTTGACAATATGCACAACAATGCAATTTTTCAGTAGAACGGGCAGAATTTAATGAAAAATGAAATTGTCTCAAACAAATACCGAAAATATACGACAAAAAGCCTTGCTTCAAGTCTGTTCTGATGAAGAGCCCCAAAGATATAGCATTTGAATCCTCTCAGAATCAGAAGCAGCTGATGCTTTGAGTTAGTCAATTGAATATGGTATTCCCTTTTTGCGGTGCACTTTTTAGCCTCCATTTGGGATCCACAGAAAGCTTTCCTATATGCTTAATATGTATATATATATATATATATTTATATATATGTACAAGTGTCTGGCTTTTTAACGATTGCCAGAACTCGTGGGCGCTTCTTGATTTATTTGCTTACGTGTGCTGCGTATTTTTTTTTATTTTTTTTTTTTTGTATTTTCTTGAGATGATTTTCCATGCTGGGCTGTTTTCCAAGGTCGAGCAGGCCCGTGCTGTGCTTTTCATGTTAACTGCCGAGCTTTGGCTTTGGCATTCAAAAATAGATAACTAGACAAGAGCTCTCTCCAGCTGTCCCGACTATCTCTCTAATTGATATTTTCGCATTCCCAAAAAAACTATGCGCTGATATTTTTGGCTTTTGCTTTTGTTTTTACGAAATTCTGCAATGCTTTCAAGGCTAATGCCAACAACAATTTATTAACCCCGCCACGATGTGTGGGAGGGGGGGTGGGGGTGGGGGTGAGGGGGGGGGGGGGGGGGTAGCTGGAACTGATAAAGCTGATGCAGGTCTCGCCGTCTTTTTGCCAAAAATAATTCAACTGAACAACCGGTTTTTATTGTCTACCCTAAAAGATTTTATGATCTTTAAATTGTCAACTTTATGGACTTGCTCGCGTTTAAATCACGTGCAGAGATAGATGCAAAGCAAAAATGTTGAGCATCAACAATATACATATATATGCAGACATTATATAAGTCAAGATCGGCCAGTCAATCGCTTATTTGAGAAACTCAACGACGCTTGAGAAACTCAACGACACGTGTGCCTTGCGATGGTAACAGCGGCCGTTTATGTTAAGACAACATTTTACTTTGCATATATCCAATATAGGGTAACAGCGGCCATTTATGTTAAGACAACATTTACTTTACATATGTATATACAACACAACGACCCATCCAATATAGGGTAACAGCGGCCGTTTATATTAAGACAACATTTTACTTTGCATATATCCAATATAGGGTAACAGCGGCCGTTTATGTTAAGACAACATTTTACTTAACATATATACAACACGACCCATCCATTATAGGGTATAGGGTATGGGCGTAGTGCAGAGCAGGTGTTTTATACCAGTTGATACCAATTTATATAGCTAGGCTTCACATTTAACTTTCTTTAATTAACTTTTAAATGGTAGCCCTGCTTAAGCTCAACAACCGTTTTATTAATCACCCTTGTTTATTTTAATAAAAGCTGCATAATAACCGCCCACATGATTTGCATATTTTAAAAGGCATCAATATACACTGTTATCGCTACACGGCTAATGCATAAAGTAATCGATACCAGGTACAGGTATTTTGAAGTTGAGCTTTAGGCAAATTTTGAGCTGGTTTGCTTTGTTTCATATTAAATTGCGCGTGGCATAAAAAACCTTAAAAAAAAAACAAAAAACAAAAAAACCGCAATAATCTGCTCACCCAACAAGTCAAATATTCACACAAACAGACAACAGTACATACATACAAACGTACAAGTGTCCAATTTAAATGCTGCTATCTACACACATATGCATGCATGTATGTATGTATGTATGCATCGATATCTGTGCGCTTCTGTAAATTGTTCTCTTTCGCGACCATACTGGCAATTCCTTACAAAACTGGTTCGCGTGTGTCGCGCTCTTTGAATGCGGCCGCCGCAATTGCTATACGATCTGCGCTCTTTGCAAAGACGCTTTCTTTATTTGCTTCGCGATATATTTGTGTATGATTTTTGCTATTATCGCTGAGAGGCACAACAGACGAGCCCAGAAAATTGGCCAATCCGCGTGCGTTCTTCGTGAGCGCGCCATCCGCCCGCCCGCATGTCGCATAACGGTGGGGTGGGGGGAGGTACATTTTGTTGTCAGCATCTTGTAAATAAGCGCATTTACCCCACTTTTATTTACGTGTTTTTATGCTGTTGTGCGATCGGTCAATGGCGACGCCAACAATAAACCGCACGTCATTTGCAGTAAATTCGAAAACAAGTTGGAATTTTGTTTCTGTTGTTGTTTTTAGGTTAGAATTACAGCATTGGCAACAACCTTGTGGCTGAATATATACATATGTACATATGCATGTTCTCGAACTTTTTACGCAAACATGCGGTTGGCCCAAATCAAATTCGATACACCCCCAAAGCCAATATCGATAATACGTAATACGTAAAGAAAGTGTTATTAATAAATAATTATCAACTGATAATACGTACTTTTAGACATTAGCGCAGGAAGCGTTCGGCTAATAAGGGCGTTCGATTGGCTAAAATTGATTAGTTATCGATAACAATTGCAAAATGACAGTTTTTTTTGCCAATCGAAACTTGACGTTTCGACGGTTCGTATTTGAATTCGAATATTTAATGAGCTTTCGTTCATTTGGAGGCCTGGTTGTTGTTTTTTTTTAGCAATCACGTTTCGGTTGCTAACTCATATCGTGTTTTCTTCCTCTTGCCAATTTGCCCCGAAAATAACACAAGAAAAGGAAATTAATCTTACGAAAACCAGTTTACAATCGCCAAGCCCGCGTTGGGATTGGCATGGAGCAAGAATTGAAATGCGAACTATATATATATATATATATATATATATATATACAACACATATGTACATATATTCAAATTCGAAATCTTTGCTGTGACTGGATCACCTGTTGCTGGGTCTACCCAAAGGCCCTAGGCGGGGCACCGGGAATTGCGACCGTTTGATTATCTGTGCATTATCAAGCTCGTTGTCAATATAAATATGAACGTTTCATTAAATACTGCAGCTATTATTATTATTATTATTATTGTCATTATTATTATTGTTCATATTTCTTGGCGTTGATTTGTTTTACAAACCAATTTCATTATCAATGTGAAGCACAAGTTGCGAATTGCAAACGGCTGCGATAAGATTCCGTTCGTCATGCCCCCCACAGCTTGAGATAGGCATTTCATTAATGGATATGCCTGTCCGCATAGTATATATGACTATCAAATTTATGTATGTATCTATATATATAACACTTGGATGAAGGTACATTAAATTTACGTGACAGTGCCTTATCTGTGAATGCGCCTTATCGGCTTTTGGATGGGTTCCTCTGATTTATATTTAACTGCGGCTAAAATTTTAAGTCAATTCTTGTTGCTTTCGTAGCTGGCAACCGAGGGGCGCTTATCAAATGCGAGGCGTGGCATGGCGTGTTGCTGCCTGCCGGCACATCCCAATCAGAATCTTATCAGCGAGAGAAAAAAAACAAAAACAAAAACAGTTGAAAGCGTGCGTCATTCGCATCATTGTCATTTACATAGCCAAATCTGTGTGGCTGCGACATGTTTCCGTTCCAGCTGGTAAGTGGAACGCTCGAGCGTATCGTGGCCAAGAGATGCCAAAAGTTACTTTCTTGGCGCAGCTGACAAACGAGACTTATTGCCAAAGACCAATTTTGGGCAGCGGTCGTTGTGCTCGAAAAATCCTTCACCGACTCGCGGGCAAGTGTTGGTCGGAACCGGTTGCAACTGTTGCCAGACAAGTGACTGGCAGCCGCAATCGAATTGCATCAGACAACACAGCACAGCGGAGCACATCTCAATGATGGCCAATGATCTAGTTGGCATGGAGACCAGTTTTGTTGGTTTGATCGATTGTCGCCGCATTTTGGCCCATTTTTTTTATTATTGAGAGAGCAGCCGCAGCGCGGCTAGCGTCAAGGTACATTTATCGCGCTGTTAAAGCTCATTGCAAAAAATTGCATACAGTATTTACAAGATGTTTGGGTGTATATTAAATAAACTAAATGAAAAGGAAAAGGCTTTGTATAAATAAGTTAGGCCTGTTGCATTGTCAGCTTCTTCATGGTCGATGATGTGCCGGTGGTCATGGGCAGATGTGAGGGTGAATGCTTCACCTTCGACGTGAACACATCGTAGCCGAGACTGATCACATTATCGTAGAAGATGCGATAGTGCGTGGGTATCCAGTAGAAGTTGACGAACTGCGCCACCGGCCAGACGGTCCATTCGGCTGCATAGAGCTTCCAGGCCTTTTCCTTGATCTCCTCCCACACCTCGTGCGCGTCCTTTCTCTCCAGTATGCCCAGCGTCACAAAGAAGGCGGATATGTAGAGCGGCGAACAGATCAATTGATCGAGAACAATCTTTTTGGCTACCACACGCATGCTGCGACCGGGCAGATACTTGTCCAGCATCTGATACCAATAATGGCATATGATGCCAACGGCCACGCCGCTCGTCGCCATGTGCCGGGTGCGTGTGCTGCTGTATGTCTCGATCTCGTTATTGTACAATTCCAGCTGCTGTTCGAGGATGTCGCCCACCGAGCTGAGCGTTAGCGAAATGCCAACGTTGGTAAATAGTAGAAATTTATTACTAAACGCGCTGCTGTGCCATTCGCGCATTTTCTGCAGTGTTCCAGATCTGACACCCGCGCCCGCGCCGGCGCCGGCGCCGCCTCCAGCTCCCGTCGCCGCATGCCGGAATATGCTGTAGCTGCCCCGAGAGAGCAGGATTCGTAGTTTTCGTCGCAGGAGGTACATCTTTTGCTGATGTTTTCGGTTCTTGTCGTTGTGATAAATACCGATTCGCACTAGCTAAGCGATTGAAATGAAATTTAGCATGGTCTCCTCAGGCGCTCTTAGTCTTCGGATTCCATTTTGTGGTGGCCAGGAAAGTTTATTATATTTGAATTTTAAAACACATGATACTGAACTCCAATCGAAATTATTCCAAATATTTGAAAAACGCCAAACGCTGCCGGATAGATTTCTCCACGCAGCGTTAGGTGGGCGGCGATCGCAGCAACAACAATTGCACAATCACGTGTAGTGAACAGCTGTTGACCAGGGCGTCAGCATTTGAACCGATATCGAGTACTTTAACTACTCGATTGCTTATCATTGGTGCAACTAAATCATTTGCTAACAGCTACAAGTTGACTAGCATATAACTAAAATAACAAACGATCAATTTAATGTGCTGCAACTTGTGTTTAACCGAAAAGCACAGCAATGCTTATGAAAAGTCGCAAATAATACAATATCGATAACAGCACAGTATCGATACTTGTGCGACAGCCCTAGAAAGCGTTGCATTGTTATTGCTGTGCTATTTTCTTTATTTTTTTTGTTGTTGTCACAGGCGTCGTAATTGGCAAGTTGTCTTCTAATTCAAAGTCAGCGACAGTTTCTTGTGCTCTGTGTGGCATATTTATTGTATTGTTGTACATTTTTGCAACTGGTTGAGTTTCCAAACAGCTGTAAGTTTGTTTTTCTTTTTTGCCTAAAAACAAAAAGACACTGCAGATAAGCAGCGCTGCGCAAAAGTATACGCAAGCTCGTTGCGTACTGTTATTAATAACACTTTCGTGACAACAATTTCTCAACATTCTCAGCATCAGCAAACAAAGAAACGCACGCACAAACACACACACACACACACACACATATATACAAACACACGCAAACACTGCAATTAAAGGCAGGTAAACGAACGCAAAGGGAAGCGGAAACTCTCAGGCAGGGACAATAGAAGTGCTCTGATAAAAACTCAAAAGAATTAAGTACACGCACAACTATGGGCCGCATCTTTCTGGAGCACCTTGGCGGCCTCAAGCTGTTCAACTGCGCCCAATGCCACACCAATTTGACCAATCGCAGCCAATTAATCAGCACACGCTTCACTGGCGCCACGGGTAAGCAAAGAGTATACACGATTTATTGTTTCAGCTTGTTTGTTGATTGTAATATATATATGTATTATCCGCAGGACGCGCCTATCTGTTTAAGCGCGTGGTCAACTTGACGTTCAGCGCCATTCAGGAGCGCGTGATGCTCACGGGCCGTCATATGGTGCGCGATGTCATGTGCAAGAACTGTGGCGCCAAGCTCGGCTGGATGTATGAGTTTGCCACCGAGGAGACGCAAAAGTATAAATAGTTCTCTTGTCATTCGTATATAGGGCTAACTCGCTCACCCACAATATTGTTGCCTTTCCAGATACAAAGAGGGACGCGTCATTCTCGAATATGCACTGATCAATGAGGCGGAGGGTTTCCCATCGGAGGCGGGCGGCACCAGCCACTGAACACACGAGCGTACCTGCAGCTCCAGGCCAATAAAGCGTGTGTAGCCCTAAGTATTGAATAGCAAGCCGCAGGCGATGGCTTCTATAGCATATGTAATAATGTAATCGATCACCGAGGTCCTTGCATCGACAACTGGCTAGTGTGTGTGTGTGTGTGCGTGTGAGTGTGTATAGCTAGATATCATGTCGAGTTCGTTAACGTATAATTACAGCCCCTGTCAGCGTTACTTAAACGTAGTTTAAGACATTAGCACATAAGCAACTGCGCGGCGCCCAATTCTAAAAATACTATTTATGAGGCTGAACTGCTAAATCACTCCCACCTCCTTCTCCCTTCGTTGCCGTGTGGCACAACGGAACTACATTTGTCCCCCTTCTTTTTTTTTTGTAACTTGCAATTATCATAAGGAACACATATGTGTCCGTCGTCAACAACTTCATAAATTAATAAAATAAGAGATCTCTAGTTATCTTTATAAATCTCATCAAAGTGAATAGTTGTTTTTCTCGGCCTGACAAACGTTTAAGAACATGTGCACGAAACAGAAGCAGATGCTAAAGTTAATGAAAGAGGAAGACACAGAGAGTGAGAGGGAGATAGAGCAAGCATGCACACGAGTAAAGCATCAGGCCAACTTTGAAATAGCACTGACTATGGCATCAGGTGCACAGATCCATCTGAGATTTGAGCCCGGAACTGTATCCTTGAACTGCCTTTGACATCAAACCAGGACAGCAGCAATAAATAAGTACATTATGTATACGACTAACAACCGTAACTATCATTTACATTGCTTTTATTTTGGTATTTATTTAATTGCTAGATAAGGACCCATACAAATGCAACAAAAATGCATTTTTTTAGCTCAGCTTCGCTATCGGTGTGAATTTGTATTGTTAACTAAACTACTTAGTAACTCGAACTGTGTGCCCTACAGCTTGTTGGTCTTCTGGGCCATGGCTAAAGCATTCTCGTTGGCAATCATTTGGAATTCCTGGAAGCGCTGCGATACACGCTGGTTCATCTTCAGGTACTTTTCCATGCAATTCAGCGAGCATTTCTCCTGCAAATCAAGAAATACCAATATGATATATCCTTTAGCCAGAGTTCAATTTGGGGTTTGCCGCTTACCTCAGAGTCTTTGACATCGCGTGATGTGAAATCGCGTACACAGTCCGTAAAGCACATTTCGGAAAGTTTGTTGTAGGACATTAGGAAATCTGAAAACTATATGCACGTTGTTTAGTTTGATTGCCAGCAATAATCACATTCGGGCGGCACATTCGATTGCGCATTGCATCACATTTGCAGTGGATTTATCAATCAAATGCGCCGCGTTATTTACCGTTTTCATTTGATCCTTGTCCAGTTGGTCCAGAGAAACGGTTTCGGGGCTTTTAGCCATTTTGTACTGTGTTGTTTTATTGAAGTTTTTGTGAAATACAACGAAACGCTGTGCGATTAAATAATAGTAGAGCTCAGCTGTGCTGTCAAAATACCAGGGCTGCTATCAGCGATAAGTCAATGTTATCGATTTGGCTGGAATGCACATCGATAATTGGCTGCCATCTTGTTTTTAGCCCACAATCACAAATTAATTTTTCTCTACGTAAGCGTGGTTGTGTCTGCCTGCTGCCAGCGAAAAAAAATTGTGTATACCTAGAGACGCAATTAATACTTGGCTAAAGAAAAAAAACTTTAGTTAAAGTTAGCAAACGCTTTCTACGTATATATTTATATACACATATATATATATATATATATACATATAGCCATACATACATATATATATATATATATAAACACACCATGCCCCGCTATCGTGAATGGGATTTGGCCTGCAAAGTTTACGTGGGCAATCTGGGCTCCTCGGCCTCCAAACATGAGATTGAGAACGCGTTCAGCAAATACGGACCTCTGCGCAACGTGTGGGTCGCCCGCAATCCGCCTGGCTTTGCTTTCGTCGAGTTCGAGGATCGTCGCGATGCTGAGGATGCGACACGCGGTCTTGACGGCACACGCTGCTGTGGCACACGCATACGCGTCGAAATGTCCTCTGGCCGTTCGCGCGAAGGACGCGGTGGTGGCGGCGGCGGTGGCGGCGGAGGTGGCCGTCGTGGTGGCCGCAGCGGTAGCGGTGGCGGCGGCGGTGCAGCTGCTCGCGCTGGCGATGCTGGCGGACGTTATAGGTGAGTACCACTCCGATCTTCCCCCTTTGCACTGTCCGTGCATCACCAAATTTTTTTCGCATATGTATAAGCCATTCTGTATATATGTATGTACAAATATATGTGTGTGCATATGTGGCATCGAAAACGTTGTGCATTGCATATGAGCTGGCCAAAAACAAAAAAAAAGTATGAAAAATCGATTTGGGGCAAGCAAAAAAAAATATATGTATATGAAACGGGCCCGCCAATGTGCGTATACATACAAGAAATATTGCAGTACCGGTTGTAAAAGTGAGCACAGCGCACACATACACATACACACATTTACAGTAGCGTGCGCATCAATTGTGTGCACAAAAAAAAAAAAGAATCTCACAAGTCCGAGTATCGTTAATCGATAAACAAGGGTTGGACGCTCAGATTCAAAATGGATGCGTTCTATTTTTTTTTGTTTTTTTTTTTTTTTTTTTTTTGTTTTTGTTGTTTATTCTTTACGTACTTCATTTGTTTCGCCAACACACCCCGCAGCAGAAGATTTTCCCCCTCCCCGACCCGTTTGCCCGCTTGTTACTCGAAATTGCGGCCTGGCCGTTGTACAAATTTGTTGTGTTTAGTAAAAAGAAAAAAAAATTATAAAAATAGAAACAAAAATCATCGAGGATTGGGGCTCAGTTTTAATGTGGTTTCACAATCATTTTGCAGGATAAAGCCTACTTCTACTACAAGCACAACAAGAACAACAACAACAACAGCTACTACTACTACTACTAGAACTTCTACTACTCCTCCTCTTCCTTCAACAAGTACAACTACTACAACAACAACAACAAGAACAACTTCACGTCTCATAACTACAACAACAACAACAAGAACAACAGCTCCTGCTCCTCCTCTTACACACATTTCACCAACACCAACAACAACAACAACACGCCCAACCAAATTGTGCAGCTTTATGATAATTGTCGATTTCAACAAATACGATATATTCCGCTGACTGCAATAACAACAACAACAACAACAACAACAATAGCGACAGCAACAGCAACACATCACAACGAAAACAACACAAGTTCCTCTGCGCAAGTTCTCAACAACATTATGTACTTAACGTACGCATCTATTTATCAGCCAAGGGGCAATCCAATCACCATTCATCAGCTGCAGCCAACTGCAGCAGCAGCAGCTACAATCTGCATCAGCAACAACTGCAACTGCAACACAATACAACATTCCCTCACTCTAACTCATGCTCATACCAAACACACACACACACACACACACACAAATATCTGCAAGTGCCTCGTGTCACCGTGAGAGCAGTCAATCAGTCGGTCAATCAATTAATTGACTGCAGCTGTCGTCGCAACTTCACCAACAGCAACAACAATCTTCATACTTCATCTCGTATCGTACCAACAACAACAACAACATCAACAACAACAACGACCATTTGCTCTTTCATTTATTAACAACACTTATCAACAACACCACCAACAACAACAACAACAGCAACAAGCAAGTGCAACTACTGACCCAGCAGCAATCAAATCTAACTCCAATTACACCAACAACCAACCAACCAGTCAATCAATCAATCAATCAATCAATCAACCAACCAACCAACCAACCAACCAGTCAATCAACCAGTCAATCGATCAACGCTTTGCAACAGCCACAACAACTGTAGACAACTTCAACTTGCAGTCCTAGACGCGTCTTCTGCAACGCCTCTCAGCCTCGGTCGTGCCTCCACACCACAGCTGCTTCTGTCCCCAAAAACAAAAAGTACCTCATCTTATGTCATCTATAAGCCAGCCTGCCACCGACAACGACCAACAGCCAAGCAGCCAATCAGCCAGTCAGCCAAGAACAGTCAAGCAAGAACTTCAACAACAACAATCACCAAGAAACAACAGCAACAACAACAACAACAGCTACTTCAACAACATGCAACATGTAGCATGCAACATGCATTGGGGTCCCTGTTTTTAACCATCTCTTTTGTTGTTGCTCTAGCTCCTAGGCTCATCTCAGTTCTTGCACCCCTTCCACAACAACATGCCCGGGTTGGCCACCCCATCCCCCCACACCCTGCGTCGAGCATCTCCATCAAAAATGTTTATGAATCTTCAAATTTAGCCTGCGCTGCGCTTCTTCACTATTCACCTAAACAACTTCAGCTTCAACTGCAACAACTCCTGCAACCGCAAGCGTACCACCAACAACAACAACAACTACTACAACAACAACAACAACCACCAATTATCACCACCAACAACAACAACAACCAACCACAACCTCCGATTATTACGCAAAGCAACTGCCACAAAAAAAAAGAAAAGCAAAAGATAAGCAAAGCGTATGTAAAATTGTTCCCATTTTTTCTTTTAGCTGTAGCTAAAAAAAAAAAAAAGAAAAAAGAAATAACGCAAGTTTTATTTATATTTTTGTATATTTTTCCTATTTTGTTCTTTTGTTATCGTTTTGCCATTTTCGTAATACCCTTGCAGCAGGTCACAATAGATAGAGATACATACGATCAGATCGAACCCATATTCCTCCGTGCTTCTAGCTGTATCCTAAGCCAACTCCTCTCCCAGCGAAGCTATCTCGATGAACCTTCTTTTTGCCAAAAGTAGCAGATACATACATATATTGCAGATTGACTGAATCATCGTATCACTATATATCATCTATCTATCGCAACTGCAGAATAATGCAATGTAGTTCAGTTCAGATGAATCATAAATACAATTGGTCACTTGGCAGAGTTGCATCGGACTACCATATATTGCTATATATAGTCAAGTCGCAGAGTTGTTGTCTTGGTCCTGGTTCAATACAAAGTACAGTAAACGCTCGCACATAAAATTGATAATAACAAATACCTAAATATACATTTGTTAGCTGGCAAGTGTCTAAATCTAAATTTAATATGTTGCAAACAATTTGTTGTTTTTTTTTTTTTATATAAAATAACGTGTCTCGATTTCTAGTTGAGCAGCGATCACTGTAGTTTTTTATTATATATGCCATCTGCCGCATGCCTGCAAGGGTATTTAATCTTCGGCAAGCCGAAGCTAACAGAACTTTCTTGGTTTTTTTTTTTTTTTTGTTATCGTTATCGTTCACTTAACATGCATTTTTTTTTGTTGTTGTTCCTCTACACACTCACCCGCTAATTGTCTGCTTTATTACAACAACAAGAACAAGAACAACAGCAGTTAGATTGAAAAGATAAAAAAGTACCGCACACACAGAACACGCGGAAGCAGCAGAGGCAGCAGCAGCAACAGCAGCAACAACAACTGCGGAGGATCGCAAACTCCTCACTCTTCAGCTCTTCAGCCCTCTCTTCAGCTCATCAGCCCTCTCTTCAGCTGCTGCGTTTTGAGCCGCGCTCTCTTCACGTCTGTGTGTGTGTGTGCTTGTGAGCGTGCGCGTCTGTGTGTCTGTACATGTGTGTGCGTATGGGCAGCGCAGCTTCAAGCAATGTGTTGAAAACCAGTATTAGCATCAACACACACACACACACCACAAACTACCACACCACACCACAATACAAGAACAACAAACCCACCATCACCACAACAAGAACAACAGCTACTTTTAGTTCACCAATAACAACAACTACAATAACAACAAACAGCCAGAACAACAGTCTTCTCAGTCTGCTCCGCTCATCAAAAAGCCACCAACCACCAAGAACCAACCACCAACCACCACCACCACAAGCTACTACTGTGTTTATGTATGTTTTTTGGGATATAGCCCAAGGAATAGCTAAGATTCCCTGCCAAGTAGCCCAACAACGGGTTCAGCTCAGCTCAGGTCAGCTCAACGCAGCGCCACAGCCACAGCCACAACAAATTGTGACAGCACCACCGACCAATCAACCACCAAAACTCCCCTCAGCTCCTCCATAGAATAACACAAAACTGAAATGGAGGCACAGTTTTTCAGCATTGTTAATATATAAAAAAAAAAAAAAAAACAAAAAATAATGATAATAATTTGTGTCAAAACGCAAGTGTTAAAAATCTATTTAATTTGTATTTTTTTTTTCTCTCTCTCTCTCTCTCTTCTCTCTTTTTCGCTCTCTCTCTCTCACTGTCTCGCTCTCTGTGTGTGTGTGTCTGACTCACTCGTTCTGCTCTGTCTGCCTAATGCTTTAAATAAACATAAACCAATCACCCGCCCCACCCAACCACCAAAACACCATCTAATTACAGGTCACGCTCCCCGAGACGTTCAAGGACCCGCAGTCGCAGTTTCTCACGGGATCGACGCAGCCGCTCGGACTCGAGGGATCGCCACTAGGTGGAGCTGCAATCAGCGCAGCAGCTCATAAGACAGTTCTTCACATAACCACCCGCACAGACACAAATACAGACAGACACAGCTTCACACACACGCGCACACACACAAACACACACTCACACACAACTAGTACATGTGTAAAGGCGCCGCGAGTGTGGCCATAAAACAAAAATAATAAAAATTCCTATTACAGCCAGTTTTTTTTTCGGATTATGTATATATATATGTATATATATATATATATATATATATATATATGTGTGTGTACAATTGTGAATTTCGGACGACAAAATCAGCTCCTCACAAACAAACAAGAAAAACCAAATAAAAAAAAATAAGTAAAAGAACAAAAAAAAAAAAAGAAGCAAAATTAAAAAAAAAATACAAATTTAATTATAATTATGAAACATTTCGAACCAAGCCGCAACAACATATTTATTTGAAGGCAGCCGCGAGTTTAAGCAGAGTTTGTTGCTGCGTATCTAGATGTAAGTGCATAGAGATTAAAGAGAGAGAAACTTATAGAAAACAACAACAACACACACAACACACACACACACACACACACCACACACACAACAGCAACAACAACAACAACAGCCTGCAATCGGATTGACTAGACGGAGCGGAAGGTACGAGTATTTTGTGAATGTTTCTATACTTTTTTTTTTCACCTGTATTTTTTTTTGCTCGTAATCTATCGACACAAATTGTAAAAAAAAAAATATGACAATTTAAGGTGAACATAATAAAAACTATGAAATACAATGCGTAAAGCGTTTGAATCAATCATTTATATATAAAGACAAGGAGGCCTGGTTGTGTGGACTGTGGAGTCCTGAAATGGACAGCAATAATTTTGAATGGTTTTCGCTAATTTAACTTCTCGTCTGGAACACATCGAAAACTAAATACACTTTACACATATAGCTGACGAACTGATAGATATCTGTGTAGAATAGCGAAGCTCGCAATTGCTGAAGTTGTTGAAAATATCTTGAAAAAAAAAGAAGAAAACTTTTCCATAAAAAATGCATTATTCGACCGATTCTTCCTATGGCAACTATATGAGAACTGGGGACAAAAACAAACTGCGGCTGCAAAGCGATATTTATCGATTTTGAAGAAACGTAAGTGATCGATAGTTTCGTTTGATCTTCGATCTTGAAGTTATGCTGAGAACAAAAACAAACTGCGGCTGCAAAGCGATATTTATCGATTTTGAAGAAACGTAAGTGATCGATAGTTTCGTTTGATCTTCGATCTTGAAGTTATGCTGAGAACAAAAACAAACTGCGACTGCAAAGCGATATTTATCGATTTTGAAGAAACGTAAGTGATCGATAGTTTCGTTTGATCTTCGATCTTGAAGTTATGCTGAGAACAGAAAACAAACTGCGACTGCAAAGCGATATTTATCGATTTTGAAGAAACGTAAGTAATCGATAATTTCGATTGATCTTCGATCTTGAAGTTATGCTGAGAACAAAAACAAACTGCGGCTGCAAAGCGATATTTATCGATTTTGAAGAAACGTAATTGATCGATAGTTTCGTTTGATCTTCGATCTTGAAGTTATGCTGAGAACAAAAACAAACTGCGACTGCAAAGCGATATTTATCGATTTTGAAGAAACGTAAGTAATCGATAATTTCGATTGATCTTCGATCTTGAAGTTATGCTAACAAAAACAAACTGCGGCTGCAAAGCGATATTTATCGATTTTGAAGAAACGTAATTGATCGATAGTTTCGTTTGATCTTCGATCTTGAAGTTATGCTGAGAACAAAAACAAACTGCGACTGCAAAGCGATATTTATCGATTTTGAAGAAACGTAAGTAATCGATAATTTCGATTGATCTTCGATCTTGAAGTTATGCTAACAAAAACAAACTGCGGCTGCAAAGCGATATTTATCGATTTTGAAGAAACGTAATTGATCGATAGTTTCGTTTGATCTTCGATCTTGAAGTTATGCTGAGAACAGAAAACAAACTGCGACTGCAAAGCGATATTTATCGATTTTGAAGATACATAAATTTGCTATACCCTGTCTGTAAACCCATTTCTAGGACTATTTTCAAGAATTAAGATTCAGATAAAGATGTGCTAGCTATAACGTAATTACAACAAGTATATATATATATCTATATTATATGTAGCCTAGAAAACTCTAGTACCGCAAGGGAAGTCTGTCTAAGGCCCAACAAAAATAGTTTTGATATTTGGTACATCTATATTTCTCGAACTATATATTACGAGTTTCTCAGAATGAACGATTAGTAAATAGAGATGATATTAAAGATTGTAAAATATGTGAGGCCTGATTATATATAGTAGATAGACATTTTACAGGGTAACTGCTAGTGTGCTTGTTTAGAACCAAAAAAAAAAAAAAGCAATTGCAATGCGCGTTGCGCACTTTTGGGCGCAAAAAGCCAATTTGTAAATTCTGAATGCCAATTGTATTTGGGATACATAATTTTTCTATAACAATAGTACAATATATATAACATTTAGTGGGAACATCAAATGTAGAATGCATATGTATTATATATATATACATTTTTATAACAATCTCAAATGATGGCAACAAAGCAAGCAACAAGTAACTATTTTGCTCAAACAAACATTATTGTCAATTTTGGTAATATGCCTCAATTCTATTTCAAAACCATAAACATATGGCACATATATATATATATATATATATATATTTGTATATGTATATATATTTGTTGTATATAATCCGAATAGACGGTTGAACTCGTGCGATAGTACAGGAACTCGCTCAACTATTATAAATAAGTTGTTCACTACTTTTATGTTTTATTAAATACACTTTATAATTTTGGGAAAAAAAAAAAATCAAAAGCTGCTTCACGTCTCAATTTGGTTGCTGGATGGTTGAAGAGCGCGGGGCAGATGGCATCTACTTGTACTTCTTCATAAAATCGGCATGGAACACACGGAACTTCTCCATCATCTCCTTCAGCAGAGCCGTCTGCGGCAATATGGTGCTGCGGAAATGATAGGTGCCGGGCAATTGGCCGAATCCGCTGCCGGGCACAATGCAAATGCCTTGGGGAACAATTGGATAAATGGTTATATCAATTTGTCGATTTGTATTCAATTGGAATTGACATTACCCGTCGTCTCGAGCAGCTCGAACGCATAGAAGACATCCGGTTGCATATTCTTGGCCTTGGCCGCCTCCACAGCCTTGGGCGGTATCTCAATTTTGGGGAAGACGTACATGGCGCCCTGCACGGGATTCACCGTGTAGCCCTCGAAGCTGCTGAGCGTGTTGTAGACCAGCTCGGCGCGTTCCTTGAGCGCATCCAGCACAGCGGACTTCTCCTTCTCGAACAGCTCATAGGACGGCTCGCCGGGCTGCGGTGGATTGACGAGAGCACTGATCGCCACCTGGCCGGCGGTGGTGCTGCACAGTTGGGCCGTAATTGACTTGGTCAGCACGGCCTTGACCTCGGGACACATGTTGACCACCTCCATGTAGCCGCCGCGTATGCCGCATTCGCCGAGATAGCCCTTCGAGACGGACAGAAAGCTGATGAGCTCCTGGGTGCGATGCGGTTCGCCTAGCTCGTTCATGACCATCTTGAACGAAAAGAACTTGGAGTTCTTGTCGTAGACATTCGCCTGGTACACCTCATCGGCCAGGATCACCAGCTTGTTATCGTACGCAAACTTGATGATCTCCTCAATGTTCTCACGTGTCAGCACCTGGCCGGTGGGATTGCCCGGATTGATCACAACCAGAGCGCGCGGATTGCAATGCTTTTTCGCCTCATCGAACGAGCGCTGCAGCTCCTTGCGATCAAGACCCCAGCCTTTGTCCTCGTTCAGGAAATAGTCCACCCTGGACATGCCCAATTCGGTTATGGTCGCCGAGTACAATGGATACTGTGGGATGGGCACCATTACGCCGGGCAGCTGACCATTCTCCTGGTAGCTAACAGTCAAGGAAAACAAAACACAGCATTAATATATGTTTTTCAAAAATATATTACAAACAATTTGCTTTAAAGAGTTACAAATGGTTCAGCAACGGTTCGGAACATGTTTTAAGTCCGGTTCAGAAAGGGTTTTAAAGTATTTTAACTTATACTTTCATCTTTTTCTTGGTTCGATTCTTTCATTATTGAAACTGGTTCAAAAGTGAAAGAAAAGAAAGTTATTTGATTTAAAGCTATTTTAGAACTAAGAAAACGGGTTTGAGCCAAAAAGGTTTAAGCCCGGACTTAGTATTATTTATAAACCATGAACCGAACTAGTTTCCTTTTTTTTTTTGAAAGAATTAGTTCAAAAACAATTCAAGCCCGGACTTGGTATTATTCATAAGCCACGAACCGAACCTTAAACAGAGAAAGCTAAAAATGAACCGAACTAGTTCCTTTTTTTTTCAAATAGACTAGTTCAAAATGAAATAAATATAATATTTGCAAATATTGTTGAAAATCTTTACTTTAAACTCACGATATTTTCGGTTCTCTGCTTAAAAATATGTAGAGCCAAGGTTCGAATCCAGAACTGGATTCACAGTTGCCTAAGATCTGGTTCATGAACCGAACCGCAGCAAAGGCGGCACTAAGTAACGAATCGGATTCGAACTACTTTCCTGGCGATATTAACCCCCCGTTGAGATACTCACTTTAGCAAACTGAGAATGCTCTTGATGCCTGGCGAGGCGCCGCCTGTCAGATAGATGTTCTGATAATCGCTGGGCACACCGCCGTCGCGCTTCTCAATGAAGGCGGCCACCTGGCGACGCACAAACTCCATGCCAGCGGAGTCGGTGTAGGAGCCCATAGAGCCACCCAGGCAGCCGGCCAGAACATCGACAGCGCGCGACTTGATATCATCAGGATAATCGGGAGAGTCCAGTAGGCGTGGCTCCATGGTCAGCGCCATTAACTGCAGCAATACAATTGTCATTGAAGTCGAGGGTTTACTGTAACGCATGCCTGTACTCACCTGCCGCAAATAGGTCAACGGCTTTTGACCCATCGCATGGCAATCGCCAATGTTGGCCCGAATTACCCGGTCGAATGGCTTCTTTACACCCTGCAAAATATACGTCAATTATTGAAAGCATTAGCCAAATTACAGTTCGCGCAATTGGTGACTAATGACTAATGACTAATGACTGGTTGTTTTCTGGCCTCATTAGAGGAGGTGCCACCAGAAACAATCAGTTATTTATAATTATAATTATATAGGTTCTTTTTATATTAAATTATACTTCGGTCTAGCATTCAATTATTCAAATAGATTTAACTGGCGGAACAACGATTTTATTAGTCGCTGAACTAGAATCGGGCTGGTTTGGACATAGAATTCCAATTATTATTATTACCTACAATCGTTACCCGGCTTTGCCGGGCACGATAAGTACCGATACTACTGGAGACTTAATTTTCGATATATATTGCAAAATCGATAAGTACCGAGACTACTGTAGACTAAGCTTTCGATATATATTGCAAAATCGATAAGTATCGAGACTACTGAAAAGACTGAAATTTATATATTCTTGATATATATATGTACATATACATATATTCTCGACATATATATATTCTCGATTCAATTATAAACGGTTGATCTGAGTCGATATAGATGTGTGTTCGGTTCTATGCAAAAGCAATCTCTTGCTTTAAAAGTTATCTTTCATCAAATTTTGCACATATTTAG